ATTATTTTGTCTGTTAGCTCCTGCAATGTTTTACAATGAATTTTAGATTCCTTGCATTGGATTACAACATATGTCTTTCACTCAGTGAACTTTGTTTCTATCCATATTCTGAATTCTACTTGTATCATTTTGGACATCTCAGCCTCAGCCTAGTTCTAAACACTTGAACAGGCTGGAGAGTTGATGCAGTCATTTGGAGGAAACAAAGGGCATGCTGACTTTTTGAGTTTTCAGTGTTCTTGCACAGATTCTTCCTCATCTTTATGGGCTTGTCCACGTCCAACCTTCAAGGTTGCTGACCTTAGGACAGGGTATTTTTCTTTTATTGTATTTGATGACCTGAGTATTTGATTGTGGTGTAAAGCAGATTCAGCTAACTGGCTTTGTTTTTGGAGGATTTTAGGGGGTCAACATTCAGCTTCCAATCCCTGTATTGTGTGGAACTTGTATTGGGCCCCAACTTTGTTCTCTGGCTCATCCAGGTTTGGAGTCCACTGCACTGAGGGAACCAAAGTGCGGCAGCTGTGGCAGAGTGCTAGTGGATACAAAAGTGCCTGCCTCCCTGCAGGCATTTGCCCAGTGGTAGAGACAAGACAGCCTGTGTGGGGGCCAGAGGGCCCCTGCTGTGTGCTACTGCACTGGAGGTAGTGTTGGTTCAGGGCAGGGTGCTGGCCAGTGCAGGTCTGGGTGCCTTCTCCATGCCACCCTAAGCAACAGTGGCTGCTGAGGCTATGAAGGGTCCCTTTTTCTCTGTGCAGCATTAGCTGAAGGGCAAGGTGCTGGTGGGGTGGGGTTTTTGGTTCTGTGCCTGCCATGGCTCCGACTTCAATGGCAGTTTGTGTGGGATGAAGTGTGTGCTACACTCCCCTGTAGCAAAACCCACCCACACACACCAGCAAATCCATGTAGAAAGTTTCTGTATAAAGAGCTGCAGTATGCAGAGGCAATGTAGAGACCAGTGCATGCCCAGAGGGGTCACCTTGCTGCAGCTCTCCACTGGTCACGCACAGTCCACTGGCATAGAAGCTATGGTGTGGGCACCTGAGAGTGCCCTGTAAGCAGGTATGGCCAGGCTGGGGCCCTGGGAGAGGCAAGTAGACTAAGGAATGCTGAGGTCAGACCAGCTTCATCTCGTGCAACAATGTCCAGCAAAGATCAGGTCTCAAAGGAGAATTTTCTCAAAAGTGAAGCCCCAGCACAGCACAACTGCGCTACAAAAACATGGCCAGATTTATTTATTCAGCAAGTCTCATTTTTTAAGAAAGAAACCCTTAGACCTGATCTCTGCTGGGCAATCTTGCATATGAGATATGGCTGGTCTGACCTCCACACTCCTAAAGTGCTGGGATAAAGTGTCTCATAAGAGCAAGTGGAGCCTAGAGAGACACCTGTCCCTGCCCTCTGGGCTTCACATTGGCTGGCCTGCTGCTCCCCCACTTTGCTTGTCTCCTGGGAGCTCAATTCCAGAGACATGAGTTAGCCATCCTTAGTGTAATCAGCCCAGGATCGAGGGTCTGTGTTGTGGGCCCAAGCCAGGGTTCCCTGTCTGGTGATGAGCAGTGGGGGGGTGTGTGGTACCCATGGGAGATGGACTGCCTTGTTCCTTGGGTCAACTGCGGCTTTTTGAGGATGTCAATATGATACTTAGGTTCTTTGCTCCCTTGATATTCTGATGGCAGTGAGGGTAGTTCCACTGCAGAGGCAGTGGCAGAGAGGATTTCAGTTGATCCTGGAAGCTCTGTCCAGAAAACTGCCAAGTTGCTACTGGCTTGATAGCTCCAGTGAGGGGCTGGCTACAGACCCAGGCCAGCAGGACCTGCCCATCAAGGAGATATGGAAACTGGCACCCATGTTCGGCCACTTTTCCATAAGGCTGCTGTGGTATGCTGGGGGTCCACTCCAGTCCCTAATTGTCTCATATCTTCCAGTGCCTGAAGGTATCACCGAAGGCTGTGAAAAGGCAAAGAGGATAGTCTGCCTCTTCCTCTGGGAGCTCTACCACTGAGGTATAAACCTGTTGCCAATCTGAACACACCAACAGGAAGTGTCTGGAAGCAAGTTGAGAAGTCTTTTCTAGTAAGGATGAACAAGAACACAGACTTGCTTTTAAAAAAAGTCTGGCCACGTTTTTGTAGAGCAGCTGTGCTGTGATGGGGGTTCACTCCTGCCCTGGTAGCCTCAGACACTCTGAAGCCCCAAGGCTGAAATGGCTGAGTCGCCCAAACACCAAAGATGATAGTCTCGTCCTCCCCCTGGAAGCTGACTTAGGGAGGCCAGAGAAACACCTGTCAGTCAGAGAACAGAAGTGAAAGCAGCCAGAGACCCTGGTTGAAGGGCTCCACCCAGTGGTTAGAAATGTGGTTGGGGACTGACTTAAGAGTTTGGCCACGTTTTTGCAAGGTAGCTGTGCTGTGCTGAGCTACCACTTCCAACCCTGGTCAGCTTGGGTTCTCCAAGGCCCACAGGTCAGAATGGCTAGTCACCCAAACAGCAAAGTTGGTGGCCTGCCCCTCTCTGTGGGAGCTCTGTCCCAGAAACGTTTCAAATCTTCGTTGGCTGGAGAACACTGATGGGGGTGGCTGTAGGCCCCAGGTGAGAGGTCCTGTTCAGTAAGGAGGAACAAGATCAGGGGCCTGCTTACAGAAGCAGTCTGGCCATGATTTGGTAAAGCAGCTGTGCTGTGCTGTGGGACCTCTTCTGCCGCTGGTCGGTTTGTACTCTCCAATGCCCGCAGGCTGGAATAACTAAGTTCCTCCAACAGGAAAGATGGCAGCCTGCCCCATCTTTTCTCTCAGAGTTTATCTTCTGTGATGGAGTCGAATTTTTAAGCTATTAATTTTACTGTAAGCATTACAGTTGTTCAGAAAGAATCTCACCATTATCTTTTAGGTAAGATATATGAGAATTCATTGTCTCCTGTAAATAAACATGTTCATGTCTTGTTCTCTGAGAAGAAGTCTCTCTCTGCTACCTGGCTTTGGTCACAATCATGTAGAGCAGTAGCCAGTCTACAATGACATGATTGAATTTCCATTTACAGTGTTTCCTAGTTGTGTCTTACATTCTCCAGTTCAGAACTGACCACTTTATTCTTCGTTGCCAAAGTGTTAAGCTGTCCACTGTACTTAAATATTGTTTTTGTTCATTTTTCCCTTATCCAATTTTATAGCCTTTAGAATATCAGCATTATTTCCTTTCACACTTTCAATGTCCTCCAAAACTTTATTTTCCCTTAGCTGGTTCTGATGTTTTATTGTGTCTAGTTCCAGTCCTAGCATGGCAATTTCTTCCTGCAACCCATGATTTTCATGCAAGAGATCTTTTTCTTTCTTATGGCTAAGAGAAATCTAAGTCAACAAAGGAAACTTTTACTTAGCACAAAACAGAATGACATAATTTCTTC